CGTCACGGAAATCAGCGAACATTAAGTTTATGAGGCTTAGTAGTTTTTGTGACTGCGTTGAGGTAAATACTGTTTCGCTCTCAGGAGTGAACAACCTTGCCGAGCGTCGCAACCGATCGAAATAGGCCACTTGTAGTTGATGTACCTTTACAGGTGTACAATCGGAATATCCTTATTTTTAGAGTTTAAGGGCACTGAAATGAAGGTCAAAGTAAATCCTACTATGAGCGATTGCTGGAAGAATAAAAGGAACTCAGTTCGGTACAGTCTTGTTCCAAAATTTCGGCCGGCGAAGCTGATATTGTTCGCAAAGCCCGGCGAACATCTTGTATACAGGTAAAATGACCAAGCCCCATTCTTATAGCTTTAATCTGTTGATATACAGATAATAACTTATTTTGTGCAAACGCTGCGTAGACCTGCCGACAACAGACATCAGTTAGCACACTTCTAGAGTAGGAGCTGCAATTTAAGTTCAGCGTGAAGCACGATGTACTAACTGCAGAACCAGACAAAAACAGTCGAAAGGGCGAAGGACGTAAGTAGCGATGGGGTCCGCACAAGCAAGGGGGAGCTTAAAACACCCAACCAGATTGATATGTCAGCAATGATTCCATAGCATATAGGTTTCCGCCAACAGTGTACAGATTAAGATAGAATTCTCCGATCACCCGAGTTTGGAGGGAGGTTACTGAAATTGTGACATTATTGAGGCTATCTGTCCTCGAGGACTGACTAAACAGTAATCTGGTAGAAGAGGCATCAGTTTGTCAGAGGCATAAATACTTCAGCAAGTAGTATGACAGAACACGTTTAAGTTGTGGATATCTCCTTAGCATACGGGGCATGTTTGACAAAAGTACGAAATGAACGGTTTAAAGGTCTCGTGTACTTGAAATCTAGTTTCTACAGATTTTTAGAAAGTTCGCACGTCTAGTTGGTCCAATGACAGCGGTAGTCATCCGGGGCGATCATGCAAAGAGAATTTAAATTTGGATCAGTTGAGTTCGTCGCCGAAAAGCCTTACACGGCGACTTTCCACTACACCACTAGCAGGAGTCGTCGCCAGTTGCTAGATGACTTCCACGCCCGGAGAGGCGTCAGTTAGCTTAAGCTGCAATCACTTATAAGAAGCATCCGTCAAGCACACCAAGCTTTGCAAGAATAATGGGGTGTATATGTCATGATTAGCAGTCAGTAGACTTGTTTGGGTCGTAGGCAGAGCGACTCGGTCCCGTATATCCTATTGAGTATTACGGCGAAAAAATTTCGATTTTCTCAGACAATAGACATTGCGCGCAAGTCGATTGGGACAATCTCCTCCCTCCAAACATTGCTCTGTCGAAAGCATTCGGGAACAGATGGGGAGAAAAAGAATTGAAGTCCCAGTGGTTCTGATCGTGTAGTAGTGTGAGAACTGTGTGCAATGAAGAAGCCGAACAGCAGTTTTGCGTCAGCAGTGACCGATTTTAACATATTTTTTTGCGATAAGTCCAAGATGCAGCTGTGTGCAAAGCATAATTACTACAAAGTTTCATGTTGGAAAAGGAATGGATTCTCTCCGAGTTCGAGACATTTACGTGAAAGATTGTGTAAATGGGAGAGAAACCCGTTTTATTTTAAGAAACAGTTATCATGTGAGCTGAGGTATGCTTACATTTTGCCCTGGTGCCCCAGCAGTCGCGAGTCTACTTAAACACTTTAATCTGAGCGGAAATGCTTCATCATTTGAAAAAGAAAACACAGTTCGGTTTTTAGGTCATGTCTTAGGAGACCGGTGGGCGCAAAATGCCGACAACTGAACCTCCAACGCAGGCACTACCCACAAGGCGATTCTTGGAAATCTTTCGATATTTTTGTAGTGGCTACCGTTAGCAGGACTATTGACGAACGTTCAGTCAATCACTCCGGTTACAAATGAATAGGCTCTCGTTCCAGGAAACTATGTCAACTGGATCTCGCTGAAACCTTCGAGAACTGGATAACAAATCAACGTAAGTGGGTAGGAGGCAATTAAGTCGAAATTATGAGCAGAAATATATAGGAAAAAGTACCTTTGTGTAGATAAATCAAACTATATAGGAGCTGACGAGTTGACACGTTACAAAAACCTCAGAAGTAATACGTATTACGCTCACCAACTACTATGAGATTTATTATTTCCTTTTCTGTGCCACTTTGGTACTTCTGTTCGTATTCCTGTATTAGAAGTTTTCTGTCAACAGGTTTCGAGGGAGTCGCGTGGTTGGTCTGATTCATCTTTGGTTCACTGGGTGTTTTTGGCATCGGTTCATCCGGTTTATGAAGTACTTCAGAAAGGGGACGTTGAGGAGTGGGGGTTGGCAAAACTTGGGCCTGTTCTGAAAGAGCGGTTGTCGGTTGCTTCACTGCAGTCGACCCTAGAAAAAGAATTATAATCGGAAATCAAGTACGCTTTGAAAGGAGAGCGTGGCGAAATCATAGCAGAAACAATTCTTAATGGAAAAACTCGACACAAATGTCGAAAATGACGTGAATAAATTATCCTTTAAAATCGAACATAGAGTTCAATTCGAAAGTAACAGTGTATAACTACGCACTGTGATTAACAGCAACTTGTAGTACGACTTGTAACTTCCGTTGAAAAATTACACTCAAGAACCCTACAAAACGAGGGGCTTTCTAAATGATGGGCAGTAATTAAAGATACATAAAACTATGTGCAAAAAAGTATGCGAGGTACGTTTACAGGCCTCTCAATGTTTTATTATCATATACGCCCGATGCTGAAATGTGTCTAATAGATTGTATGAAAAGCATGCCTTGGAGGAATTCGGTAAGCTAGTTAAAATTCTCGTTCGGAAATGTTATCCGACTATGTTAGCACCCTTAAATGGTTAGTTAACATAAGCGCACAGAAAAAACCTGGATACTGAGAAAACTTGAACGCCTTGTAAAGAGGGAAACCATTAGAATCAAGTCGGCTGACAACAAAAATATATAAAAAGTAAGCACACATACTCGAGGACTTTTTGTTCCTTGACTGTGGAAGCAGAATTGACTTTTTGATGGGACAGGACGTATCTGGCTTATTTTCGATTAGAGGTGCAGAAGAAAAATCAGTACGAGGAAGCGTTTGAGATGCAAGTTCTGATTGGTGAAGAAAAATGGATGGTCTGCTATGCCTTATAGTGATCATTAGATCAATTAGAGAGTCCGTAAATTGGCGCGCGTGGGGACAGCTAACAGTCTGGAAGAAAGATCCCAAACGTGAGAGCGGGTTGCATGGTGCTGATTCTGTCTTTAGTGTCTTAGAAGAGGATTCAGCAAATTTCTGCATTCCTAGTACGGACTGATTAAGCTCCTTCACCTTTGAGAGAAAACTAAAAGCGGAAACAGTTTTTTGAACGAATGGTATTGGGTGCGCTAAAGGAACGGGGGGCTTGGGGGGTTGAGGAGTCAGTCCAGCAAGTTGGGCAAACGCGTCAAAATGCAGCTCATCTGATACATCACTAGGGTTGTCGGACTTCGTAAAAGTTGTTGTGGGGAAAGCATGACTTCTGGCACCTTTCCGAAAATAAATTAGAAGGAAAAGTATGCGAACCTTGGGAAGCCACTCGGTCAGCTCCACCTTCGAGGATTAGGTCGTCAAACTGTAACTCCAGCATTGAGGCGTCTTCATTTTCATTGCGTACCGGTGCACCATCGGCAGCTAAATGTGTATGCAAACAAACAAAAAATACCTAACGTCTCATCTTGGTCCGGAAATTCTTCCTCCGTTACATTGAGAGGAGTTTTTGTAAAGGCTGGCACAAAAGCATTATCCGCGTGACCCGCACCATAAAAGAACTGGTTGGCTAAAGAACTGTAAAATATTAATCACATTAGAACCTGTGCTAGGAGAAATTCCGTAATCATCATCAACAGAACTTGGAACAAGGTCATCATATGTGTTGTAGTCTAAAGTATTTTGTAAGCTCAATTTTTTAGTCGGAAACAATTTACCATCCGAATTCAATCTCCGTAAGTTTCTGTGGCGAGACATAACGCATGAAAAAGATGGTGCTGGAGTAATGGACCAATAAGATTGAACAGCGAAGAAAACCCTCGCAACAGGTGCACTAAAAACCTGGCGGACAGTTAAATTTGGTAAGTGGC